ATATGTATATATATTAGTTATTCAAAAAATAAATAAATTTATTGTAATATGGTTTGTACTATAATTATGTAAAATATACTGTAAATTGAACCAAATAAAATCCTTTTACACGTAACAATTATTTTGTAATTAACATACAGCTTCGTTATATCCTGAAAAAGCTAAAATTGCGTACGGAACATTTGTGCATGAAAACTTGCTAGCTAGAAAAAATAAAAAGTATAACGCGTAGGAAAATAAAATTCTTGAATATAATAAAAATATTGAATAATTTTCCGCTAAACAAAGCAGAATGTATGTATGCAGGCGCAAAAAGAATGCAGCTAGTTTTTATTTTGAAAAATGTAGTAGCCGTACAAGAAGTACAAGAAATTTGCAAATATTTGCAACTATTATAAATCTTTAGATGTATGTATAATAAAATAAAATTGTATTAAGATTATTTTATATAAATAATTTAACGAAAGATATATTAATAAAAAATATATCTATTATATATTCTAATAATTTTAGACTACATGAAAGTAAATCACATAGTTATTACAAGTCTCTAATTTTAATAGAATTTTTATTTGACATAAAAAATGCTTTTACAATTTTTGTCCATATTTTTTTATTAAAAACAGGAATGTAGTTATATTAAAGCATTATGTTACAAAAATAGTACAAAATTAATTTAAGTAACAATATTAGAAGAATTGCAAATATATCCATTTAAGACCTATTTTTAAATCTCTGTAGAGGCAACAATATAAATATAACAGGACATTCTTGATTAACAGAATATTTACTAATTGAATTATATCGAATTAAAAGTTCCGAAAAATCTGCATCTCTTTATATTTCGACTTTGCTGTTTTTGTGGTAATGTTCTGTTATGCAGTTTGTAACAAGCATGTTTATTGCGTAGCACAGTAGTGCTACAATAAACAGTCACGTGCAGAAGTACACAAAAAATCCAACAAGAGAATACGTTTCATGCGTTGAGCTTTATGCGTAACATAAAGGATACAAATGTACAAACATATACGCGTGAAAGTTCAACTGCGTTTCGAGAGTCTCGATTTTCGTCTTGCAAAATGTGTTTTTGCGACGCGCAACTCGCGCATTCGTTAACTCTACATTGCGTAATGAATCTTTGATTTCCCGCAAATTTACAGAAAAGAGGATTATAGAAAACATCTGTAGCCTCAACAATGCTAGTAACTTACAGCAAAAAGATTTAAAGAGCTCAGCGGACAGATATATGGCGAAATTATTATCACGCAGACGCTCATCTTTAAATAAATCGCGATTCCCATAAGTCCAATAAAATATTTCACAAATATCAAAGTAGACATTCCAAGATGCTCATAAGTATAATCAGCTGTTCCAGTACAGTGCAGTGACTGGATTCCCTGAACTAAACAATAAAATAAATTTAAAAATACAATCACAAAATAATCGTTGATCGTAGAAATAAAGAAAATAAAATAATAAAGCATTGAAAAACAACTATTGCTTTTTTAAAATTTGTTGTATAAAATGAGTGACAAATAAAAAATTCTGAAAATATAAACTAATAATAAAAATCTTTATATTTCATATAATGAATCTTGTGCAAACGTTATCATATACTACTCCATGTTCATTTATGAGACATAAATAAAATATTTGGCAGTACATCTTACATAAAAAATATAAATATCAAATATTGTATATGGTTAACTATATATTTTGAATTTTTACAAGTTCTTTTTATCGCTATCGATAATTTATCGGACCAAAAGAACGAGCTTTCACTTTATTATATAAATGATTTTATAAATACATAACACGTACGATTATATTTTTGTAACATTATATTTTAATATGCAATATTTTATAACATTCATACATCGTATGAATAACAACTTGATTAATATGCGTTATGGAATCCGTCACTTATACGTATTAAATGAGTGATTTGAAATTCACTTTATTGAGTTTGCGACATTATTAATGGAATACAAAACGACATACTTTTAATTACGCGAGTTTAACTTTTATATTTCGTGCGACAAATTTTATCCATGTTGATGACGCTGGAATGATAAACTAATTTCCTTAATGAACGACAAAACTTCTAAATCTGCGCAACGTACATGAATCTCCAAAATGGAATTTCGCCAACCTTTCATTTATCATACTGTCCCAAATCTGAATTTTTTAAATATGCCAAATTTATAGCCACATATAAACAAGTTTAACAAACAAAGAAAGAAATACAGCCTATAACGGTTAAAGCTAGATCAAAGTGCTTATTATAATTATGCGTGATTTTTACATACTACATATGTAGTTCCCCTATAATTGCGCGCTGATAACTTTCAGACATAACGCATAAATACTACAGTAGTAATATCACCAATTTTTACTTGATTAATTACAATTAACTATGAAAATGATAAATTAAAATTCCGTAAATAATTATATTGAATTTATTCTTTGTATTGCAAAAAATATCACATAGTTTTTGGCATTTTGTCCCGGCTTCCACTACTGGACTCATCAGTAAGGACAAGTTTATGTCTTATATGTTACAATAAAATAATTTATTTTCAATAAAAGAATTTTCATTTTCAGAATTTTCACTCCTTTTTGGAGTGAAATTTTTTTCCTTTAGAGTGAATTTTATTCCAAAAAAGAAAGTGAAAAAGATCACTTTTTTCAAGAGTGCAAATTTTTCACTCTTCAATAGGGTAGTACGGTAAAACCAAGATGAAAATTGGATCACAAGGCGAATCGGATTAATGTAAATTTTGAGGCAATTAGTTTTAATATTTAAAAATCTTAAAAATTAAAAATATTTTTATTATCTTTCATTATATTTTAATATTTATCATATAAATTATAATTTTATTACTTTTGTTTCAAAAATAGCTCGTTTGAACTGTCTCTACCCTATTTTAACTCTTTTGAAATAAAATTTTCAAGGAATTTAAAGTATATCGTTATTTATAATTGTACAGAAAAAATCACGCATCTCTCTCACCATACAATATATACAGATCAAAATAAGATATTGTTCAGCCAAATATATTGCATGTGACAAACAAGTTGATATCAATTCAACGACTAAAAGGGCAATATACGAACTGAATTCAATAGATGGATCAAACGCGACAGAGTTAATAACGATGACAAGGGAACTTTCAACGCCAGCTGTGCTGCAGGGATACACATATCTCTCTTTGAGTATTTTAACTTACAACACTCTATAGCACAAATTACAGTAACAAAAGGATTATCGCAAATTTTGTTTTCAACGGAAGTCTATTTACGATTAAAAAAATTTCTGAACACTATTTCGTAACTGTGTACTACTCGATATAATTTTATATTTAACTAAATTAAATTGAAATTTGTTGAGATAGCATGGTATTCTAACAATATATAAAATAAAAAGATTACAGTTCCAATAAAACTTTTCTTAGTTTTACACTGGCTTATAAAAATAAAAAAAGTTGTGCATTTTTTAATTCTAAAGTTAGCACACCATATTTTTAATTTTAGTTTTTCAGTATAAAAAATGCAAAACTTTTTATTTTTCTATCTTATAAGATTTAAGATTTAATATTATTGTTTTTTCTTTCTCTATTAGAAACTGTAAAACTATGAAAAGTGTATAAAACTATTTTTTTTTTTGTATTAATAAAATCTCGTGCTAACTTTATATCTATTAAATTGATATTTCTTAATCATTGTTAGTTTAACAATATTATTATTAATAAATACTAGTAAATAAAGCTCTCGATGTCAAAACATACCGAAACATGTCATGATATGATATGTATACGAGTATTTATAATTATATTCTAGAATTTTTGTATATTTAACTGTTTCTTATTTACATTTTATCTTATTTAAAATTGTCTATATCTTTTGAACTGCCCTTCACTTAATCCTTTTTATTGTTTTAATATTATTATTGCACAATTAAAAAAGTTTATTGTACCACTGTTTATCAAAATTAAATTATAATCAGAAAATTACAAATAAAAATATAGTTTCATGTCCAATTTTTATAGTTTTTAAAATTTAGTTTGCAATTATATTCTTCATACATTATAATTTATCAAATATACTAGTTCAAACAATAAATTAATTCATAAAATAAGAAAGATTCAGTTTTTAGAAGTTCCAAACATTTTAATTTCAATTATTATAGAGATAAAAATAAGCAATGGTATAGTTATTAGTTAAAATTTATAAATTAGAAATTATAATATCATAAAATTATCAATTTTTTTTATTTATTTCATTCCTTTTAAGAATTATGTATAAAACGGAGTAAAACCTCCTTTTTTTAATACAATTGAATTAATGAAGCATTTCTATGGATCAACTGCTCTCAGTAGAAATTTTTTTTTCACGTGAAAATATGCGGTTTAAAGAAAATACATGTATAAAAGCATTTACGCCAATTCTAATTATGTATCGCTCGTAATTTTATTAAATTACGAGTTATATTCACACAGAAACTAGAACGTTACAGCAAAGCTTTTTAGCTTATTCAATTGAGATAAAAATATTACTGCTGCCTCAGTTATGCATATTGCAAGCGCATATATACAACCAGATTTAAATTTAAAAGTTTCGAAAAATATTACAAGATATCAGATAATTACATAACATTCAATTGTTAGTCACAAATACGTATTGCGACTTTAATACTTTATAAATAAATTAGTTTCCTATATTATTGCTAAAAATTCAATTTTATCTCCGCATATACATTTATTTAAAAACATTCAGAGAGTTAAAATTACAATTCAGCAGCAGTTCTTGTATGCTTATATGATCTAATGTGACTCATTGTCAATAAAAAAAGCGAGAAAAAAAGGTTTTCGACTTTAAAGGCACTCGCTTAATTCGCTCGTGCGTAAAGCTATAGTCCTGGATAACGGCAGAGTGGCAGTCTGCCTCGTGCATGTGCGGAGTTTCGTGATACAGGATAATACCACCGGGCATGTACTTACATACTACGGTGAGATTCTTCGAGGCGCTGGCCGTGGAGAAGGTCGGCGCGTCTGCCGTAACTTCGCAGATGAATGTACCCGAGAGGCCGAAGTCGACATTGCGAAGCGTTACCTGGCTCTTGTTCGAGTTGTCGGGCTGAAACACACGTCCGCATAAGATGTACACAGCGAATAGGAATACCTACGTATCAGGCGTAACGGCCTAGGTTATTATGCTGTGGTGAAGTAATGCCATTTACATGCGGATAACGTGATTCGATATAATCTCATTTGTTGAAAGATATTATACGTTGTGTTGAAGAGATTAGTTATTCATTGTTTCGCGATGTCTATATATGTATAATTATTAACCGAATTAACAAACACAAGTTTGCTATTTGTCGTTGACTATTTTATTAGTTTATAATATTTTATATTATATAATAATTTATATATCTATGAGATGTAATTATTGGCTTAGCGCCGAGACACTACCGTGTCTCCAGATAACTATTAACGATATTTAGCTGATAATTACTTCTTTTAACGTATTTTATACGTTCTCATAAACGTATAAAATTAGAATTTTTTAAAAGTTCTTTGTTTCAGCAAATATTCCATGAATATCCTAGTTCTCGTCGCGTCGAAAGATACCTAGTCCGCTTGAGGGAACAATCACCTTATCAGAAAATTATCGGGTACTCGGCTAAAGTGGCCCGGAAAGCCAAGCTGGTAGAAGTCGTGCTACGGAAATAGAAGTGAAGCGACGTCGTGATGGCGATAGGAGCCGAATAGAGAAAGGTTTAATCGGAATAGGCAAAACGAAGCATGCATAATTAGCGGTGCTTACATAATGAAAGAGGAAGAAGCATGAATGAGCGGGGATACACGGATGACTAGGGCGAGAAAAAGGGTGAATTGCAGCAAGCTCTTTGACAAGCAGGAAAGGAGCGTGAAAGGCAAGCTCTCTCTCCCTCTTCGTTGATTTATGTGGACGAGGACGCGGAGTCCCCGACTGACTTTACAGAAGCAGGAACAAAAGCTCAGTACGTCGCACGAGAGGAATAAATACGAAACCATAGCACTCGGCGCTATCTAGGGAATAATCTCCGACGTGTGGCGTCTTGTTCTCTCTTCCGACTGGCGATGACACTGATATCCTCGCGCGAGATACCCAATATTCGTGGCATATGAATCGATCATTTGCAGACTAATAACGTCCAGGATTAACAATCTGGCATGTCATCAAGTCTGTCGAATGAGGCTACCAATCTGTCGCATGCAAAATTAATGGAGCGCCAAAATTATTTAACCAAGACATCGAATAATAAGAAGAAGAAAAATAAGAAAAAGCTTCATTGACGTGCAAAACAATATGAATTTATAAATATGAGTGCGGTATAATTTAAATAGAGTAACATCTCAAAAGATAATGTATCAGATAAATTGGTAATCGTTTATGAATCTAGACCTTATAACTTTTTTTTATCTTTTCTTTGTGTGATTGTAAACATAAAATTATATAAAACCATTTCTTCAAAATTTAAATCCGTTATTTCCCGGAGCTAATAATTTATCTGTAATTACTATTTTAACGTTCTTTCCTCATCATTCATAGTTTTAAAAGGACATGTCATCGACATAAAGTCATTATTTGCGGTTTCTTTTATATCTAAAGGATTCGATCGCGCGGTAACATACCCACTGCGATAAATTGCCTTTTTTATGGACCGTTACTTGTTCGATACTTGTTTGAATTCCTAGAATGGTTGTGACGATGTCAATATGTTGGAAACGTGGTATCTATACTTCTCGAACGAGCGTCAGCACTTGGTTTGGTCGAGAATTGCAAATAGATATTGGGAACGAACCGTTCGCGACTTCGGGCACGGCATTGTGGAATAATGGGTCAACGTTCGCAGGTCATGCGTCCTGCGGGTCTTTTTGCTTGCTAACTCACTCATCCGTTGTCTTTAACGTCACAAAATTTCATAGTCAACATTCAATTCCGCGCTGTAAATATGCGAAAATCAATAATATCAATGATTTACGAAGGTCGATACGATGAAAAGCATGATGAAGCATGTTAAATATGTTGATATGCGTAACAGCAGCAGGCTTTATATTTCATCATGAGCGCTTTTAACGTACTGCATAACGTCCTGTGTTACACCTGCCTGAGCGGCGCTTTGTTGACTCGTGTAAATGTTTCACCGCTTTGACTTCGCAAACGCTGAGTCGAATTGGTTAACTCGATGTTTAGCACTTTCAACATACGCGGGGAATTTACGCGTACGTGCGGAATCCCAAAAATAATCTACTCTTATATGTAAAATAAAATTTGTTATACAAGAAGTTTCCGCGTGTTATGTGCGCGGTATAATAACACGATAATTCATGTTCGTAATCTCGTATAAAGGATCTATGATAACACGGTGGAAAACAAGTGGAAGTAAAAATAATTTTTTTTCCAGCCCTCCGGACAAGTGTTGCTGCGAGCATGCTAACGATTCATTTCCCAACATAAAGGGTCTATTAAATAAAACATATCTGGTGTAACGACTGAAGTATTGCGAGATTAACAACCCATCGGAACAAGGCACGCATCAAAGTCCTGCCAAACGTATTTCCGATATAGATATCCGGACAGGATACGCATATAGTAAATCGAATATCAGCTCGAAAACAAGCCAAGTAACAAAACAATTTTTTTCGCAACCTTTCCCTCTGGGGAGGAAATAAATGGGAAAGGGGCGGACGTATTTTTCGAAATCGAGGCTTTTATATCTCTCACGGCAGCGCGGTGCATTACTTCCCGTTCGTCACCGGAGAACCGGCAGCGCGTGTACCATGTTTCGAAACGATAAACGTAAACGGGAACAGGAACGTGCGGCGCGTTGTCACGGTTTGTCAGGTCGTTCATTCGGCTGTACCGGAACACAACGGTACCGAGGGGCTTGTTTTTGGCGCAACGCGTGTGCAGACGGCATAGCCCGATTGGCGGTCATCGCGCCACCCCGCAAACCATCGCGCCCAACGCGTGTAACAGCCTACGGAAATGTTCGAGCGATGATAAAAGCACCGTAGACCCGACTGTTTTACGGCGATTACAGCGGTCAAGGGTGCTGTTAACGAGACGCCACCCGGCAACCTGCGGTTTGCGTTACGGTGATACGATAAAACCGCATATTTCGTTGTTAGCTAACCCCAGCTGCGATTTGCGCGGCTCGGTCGAAAAAGATAGCCACAGTTTCGCAGACTCATTGGGACATACGCAAAAGTGCCTCGATTAATAAATATTCATCCCTATCACTCTCTTAGTTGCCGATCGTTAAGATCTAGAACGCTTCGTTCTTTTTAACGATGTGCATGTTCCCAATTTAAAGGGGATAACAGGCGTTGAAAACGAACGGCGATAAAAAGAATAGAAAGAAATAATGATTTATACGGCAACATAGAGATTGATAGATACTAAATATATATTAGAATGTGATTACGCTTTCCTGTAAATTTTTTCACATTTTCTTATCAGATTTATACTAGACTTGATTTATACTAGACTTAAAGGAAATATACTTGGATAAAGTCGTTTCTTGATTTGAAAATTTGCTGGTAATATTATATAGTATAAGAAATATGATAACATAAGAAATATTATTAAATAAAAGGTCTGATTTAATATATATAATTATTAAAATTTGTCAAAAGAATAAAAAGATTTTTCGGATTTATAAGAAAAGAACAAATATGTAAATATATGATTCAAGTAAAAGTAATTCAAACACATTTAATTATTTATGTTATACATATATTTATGTCAAATATTTTTCCGCACATTATCGTTATTCGGATTACATTATTTTATCCGTTTCAATATACCTATATAAAATTACTGCTTATCGATCCACTTTCAATTTACATTTTGGTAATTGTATGTCAATATATTATCTGTACAGAGAAATGGCTCATTTTATATTTTATTAACGTTTATTAAATGCCAAATATTTGCCATTTGGAATTCATAAACTCGTTTATTTTATCAAAATTTTCACGTTATAATGAATCTTATTCATATATTGAATTGAAAAATGTTTTACTGCAATTTTTGTCAACAAAGAGTTATACTTAAATAATGTTTCCTTATTCTTTGCAAAAACCATAAAATTTATTAAGAAAAATAAATAAACATAAAAATATATTTTGAAAAACATATTTTAGAAAATATAAATATATTTTAGAAAAATAGACATTAGAATTTAGATAATCTAAAAAAATTAATTATTTGCATCTCTATATCATTACGTAAAAGTTGTAACAAAAATGTATTATTTAAAAATATTATTTACTTAAAGCGTTTATCTAAAAATATTCATTTATTTGTTCGTGCGTATAATCTTATACTTTATTTTTATCTCAAAAAAATAATATAAGAATTATGAAACTGAATTGCTGTTTTTTGCACGTCATTATAAAACTGTGTTAATATAAAACTGTATTACAAATAAATAACACAATATATACCATTTTACTATTATTATACACATATCGTTACTGATTACAATACGGAAAATACGTTAGCAATGAGGGAATTCAGTTCGAACAAACACGAAATATCATCGGAGATCTTATTTAGTGACTTACGTCGACATTAATCCCGGAAATGTTGAAGGTCTTGGTAGATGATTCCTCAGTGGGTGAGAATCGGTAGAATTCGTGCCTGCCCCGATACCACTTGAGGGAGTAGAGTGGCGCATTCTCCAAATCATAATGGCACCGCAGAATCACCTCCTCGCCACGTTGTACCACTTCCGGAACCACCTCTAGGCTGACCCCCCGTAGGCAGTTCGCACCTTTCAGGAAAATGAGAACAGGAACACAGGGCATTAAGTCTAGTGCGCATCATTAGTTCGCTTTTACTCGTCGCGCGAGAGGTTGCACAGCACGCGTCAGCGAGAAATTGCAATTCCGCCGAATGACAATTTCCCTCATCCTCCCCTCAACCTCTCTCGCAACTATGCATGCAACCGCAAACACACGCACGCGCAAGCTCTCACGTCCACGCGGCCACGTACCTGCATACATATATTAAACCCAGCCCCACATCTCGTATCCCGACCATTTTCGCGTAACCCACACGAGGTGCTCTGCAAACTAACCCTTTGCACTCGAACGAGCGCGATGTTTTTTGCTGAAACTTCGTTATGCAAGGATTATCGACGATTCGACCTATTAAGCCGCAAGGAAGCCAAGCGTTCATATTAAAACAAAATGTGAGTATGTGCGTGCGCGCGCGTGTGTGCGTGTGTGTGTGTGTGTGTGTGAGAAAGAGAGAAGGGAAGAGAGAAGAGGTCTGCAACTCCTTGGTGCAGAATGAAGCTCTTATTACGTAGTACCTCCGGGCTACACGGAAATGGGTACAGTCTACAAGCCGCGAATAGGAACAAAACTCTGCGGGGTTACTTCCCTCCTCAGAAGCATCAGGAACATATGCTACGCTATATGTAATATTTTAGGAAATGCGGCACTTTGTACCTACTACGGGCGATGCACGTTTTCACGCCCATACGGAAATGTGTTTACATCGATGGAACATGTAAATCTTTCGTCACATTTCATTTATTATAACATAGTGATAACCTGTTCGTAAATACTCCTGCGCTTTGTATCGTATATATTGAATACTAAACTCTTACAAAATGTCTTAGCAAAACATGCTTTCAAATATGATTAATGATTGCAGTTTCACATCATCCGATGTATTAAAATTTAATATTTTTATATATTTACAAAGTAAATTTTATGTCTCATTTATATATATATTTTATGTTACTACAAAAAATTTAAATTGCAAAATATATTTTAATATTTCAGTCTTCATTTTTCGTGAATTGTACAAAAATTTATTATTTAAAATGTGACATTTTTTGCTACACATCATCATTACACAATTAATATTATGGTAATTTATTTTAGTAATTTTATTAAAAAATATATTTTTATTGTAATAAATTTTATGCAATAACAATATAATTATTTATTTATTTTTTTGTTAAATCATAATAACACGAGTAAAAAAATTAGAATATTATATATATATACTATATATGTTATATAAAAGTACATGATAAACTTCAAGTTCGTTATGAAATGAAAAAAAAATAAAAATTAACACAAGTACATATTTTTGGATATTTTTTATTATAAAAAATAATTAAAAGTTCTTTGCAAAAAATTACCGAATTTTCACATGAGTATCTTTACTGACACGAAACATATTGAGCAAGTATTTCAGTTTACGTCAAGTGCGTTAAAATATGTCATTAGTCATGGTGTTAACAGTAGTTGTAATTTGATTGCATAAAACATTTACATTCGTATATTGGTAAAGTAAATTATATTTTTGACGTATCTGCAGGAAAAAAGTCCAAAGGAGTAACATCAGAGGAATAACCAGGGGATGGAGCCTTTTCGTCCGATTCAATGACGTCGAAAAACCAATAAAAATATTGATGCATGGAAACTTAGTAATGTTTTACAAGATACTTTTTTTAGTTGTTTGTTACAATAAAAGTAAGTAAAAATATATATGTGTTTTTTTTATTTCTCATCATTTTAAATACCAGAGGTTGTTCATCGTGTACGTACACCCTGTATATTTTGCACTTTTTTAAATATTAATACTTTTCATTTAATACAAATTAAACTGTGTCCAAATTAAATTTGGATACAATTTATAAAACGCTCACAATTAGATACATTTAATATGCAAGTAGGTTAAGTAAATAACTCATCTTATTCGAGTGACTTATACGCGGAATGAGTTTGTTCAAAATAAGAACATCTGACCGTGTTTAATATTGTGCACATGTTACACCAAGTCCTGAGAAATGAGAAAGAAACAGACGGCGCCACGTTAAATTGTGCTATATAATAAGAGATGCAAGAATGCTCACAAATACATAAAAAATATTATTATCATAACGCATCAACGGTAAAAATATTGTTAACATAAAATCGAATATCGTGTATGTTATTAAATTATCAGAAATTACAATTTTATTTATGTTAATAGGAGTATGTGTATATCAAAAACTTTATACATATAATTCATTTTCAAGCAATAAATAAATTCCTCATGTATAAATATTTAATGTAAAAAATTCTCATTCTAATTTATACATAATTATAAATTATTAGAATACAGAAGCAAATGGATCTTGTCAATCAAATATTATTTTGTAATAAGACTTCTGAATGGCCTTGTAAACAATTTTACAACGTCGTATCACAAAGCGTTTTTCATATAGTCCAAGAAGTGTCAGTTAAGTTCCTTAATGGCAAAAAGATACGAATTTCAGCGTTTAAAACGAATAAAACTTGGAAAGTTGAGAGCTTTTTCCTGCTTAATTTTCGTTTGAAAGGCATCCTGAAAAATGTGGACCGACGTGACGCCAGTTTTAAGTTTCCAGGGACTTCTTTTGAAGGATGCAATACTTGCATCCCTCGTTCCCCTTACTTTAGTTTCGTACTGCCAACGTATCTACATTTAAACTCTCGAGACCCCAGCTAGTTTCTATGCTCTCGGTAGCGCCACTTCTTACAACTAATTATTCGTAAAGAAAGCTAATTTAACGAAACACTTAACGTTTCAGCAATTTTCTTTGAAAGAAGGAAATGCGCACCATGCAACACGAAATTACCTCGCTTTCCGACGTCAAATGGGACGATGGATTTTTATACTTTCATAAAGGCGCTCGTTTCTACAAGGCAGTAGAAGCCAATACGATAACGGTAGTATATTTTATGAAGTAAATAAAGTCAGCCCATTCTATATCAGTTGTGTAGAATATTTAGTACTTATAATTTTTAAATTATAAGGAAAAAATTTAAAATGAACTTTTGATAGACACAAACTGAATGAACAGATTTAAAAGAAATATTTAAATGTACAGAGGTAAATGCATCGCGAGATTACGAGTAATAACATTTTTATGAAGCAGCAAGGTATACAGATACATTTATGATGGATTTATATTTTGAAACTAAAGAGCTTTTGTAGGATAGTCTGCAATTACATGGATAATAAATCCATAGGATAATTTAATTTTTTTTTCAATAATTAGCAAGTAGACTTTCTTTCTGATGAAAGGAGGTTGCATTTGTTCTTTTTGTTCGCTGCCATCATCCCATCGCTTTCCACTTTCGCCAACTTCGAAATTTATAACAAAGTTTTAACAACTCGTCTTCCCTGTGTTGCGAGTAAAGAAAGTCAGGGATCCATCGCATCGAGAGCAGCGTAACGAAGAGAAATATGAATTTGAATATATGTATTTAGCCTTCAACATCAAAACCCCGGATAAATAGTGATAATTTAAGCGACTGTATAAAGATTAATCTTTATAGTTTGTGTAGTTTATGTAGTAGAAAATGCCTCTAGTACCTAAATAATAGTAAGATTAAATTTATCAACTGAATATCACATATTCAGAATATATTAATCAATTTGATCAAAATTATTGTTATTATTTAAAATGTTATTATAGAACATATTTTCTCAACAGTCAATTCGATTTCTAGTATTAACCGGTCGAGTTGTGAACAAGTTTATATCCATTCGCGTTATTGCTATACAAATTTATACTTCTTATACGATTATTATTATTTAAAATATTGCACTAATATGATCAATTTTAGATTCTAGCGATTGTAAATTTATGTTTGTTAAAGATGTTAACAGAATACGCATAATACAACGAACGGATAAATCATAAATGAACGTTCAGTTATAATACACAATAACTTGATATTTAGTTTAATGTGTTTGTATGAAAAACACTGGTTTATATGATTATCGATTAAAGATTATTCGTTACTACACTCGAAACGCATCAGTTACGATTAATCAGCATTTCAACAAAACTGATTTTTTAGTTGGTTAAAAAATCTGGTTACACACATGAGCGTTAATCAAAATATCGAGCAAAGTTACACGTACATACTAATCTCACATTTGAAAATGTAACATTGGTTTTTCCGGCCGCTGCAAACAGATTTGATTGCAATAAAATTACGTCGATTTAACCGAACGGAAAGATTATCCCGGGTATATCGTTTAAAAGTAAAATCTACCCATGACATTTTTCGCGCGGAGGTATTAAACGGCGCAATCAACGCGAGTAAAACCATTTTCGTTAAATACGATCGACGCGATTTGCGAAAGCCGTTTCGACGGCTTCGGCAATGAGTTTTGCGGTACAGACAGTTTAATGCGGGCTGGGTGCACCACATCCCAATATAATTCCAGTACGATTCCCGAACGTTTCCGTCGCGGGCGGATCGTCGCGTACGTCTGTACATCCGCGAACGCGCCCCGGGCAAATTAAGTCCCACTCGTAACTACGAATGGCTGCGATCAGAATTGTAAAGTTTCATGTACACTCTTCCCTTGTGTCTCTTTTCCATCGTTCCGACATGCAGCCAAACCCATGAGACGCGTCATCACGCATGAGATGTACTTCGTGACAGAAATTGCGTATTACAGAAATTAAAGGGACACGATGTACGCGATATGAAGTCAATTCACCTTTTCTCTACTTCTATTAGTATGATTTATCTGTAATAAAACAACGGCAATTACAAAGATGTTGAATGATTTTATTGATATGTATTTGCAGAATTTTTAGTGTGTGTGTTGTGTGTGTGTTTAAGAAAATTAATTATTTTAATATTATTATAAGGTAATGTGTAAAGAATCTTTCTTTACAACTTATATTTAAAAAATTCTAATGTATTTATGTACACATGCAATTAAATCTTTCGTTTGTTTAAATCACTTGACTAATTGTAGATT